TCGAGAATTGCTCACCCAACAGAAAGAGTGACGAATGATCGGTTGTTTACTGGGGACCAAATGAGGTTAGGTCCGGATGCGTCTGGACCCAGTGAGACAATTGACAGTTGGCTAATGCCGAATTCCGACCACCAAGACTCGGGCACATTAGTCAGTAAGTCATGCTTAACCATTGTATTGTATTTAACTATTATTCTTACTTCATTTGATTGAGAGCAAACAGCAATAATTGTGTGCACGAATTGTCCATTTGAAATGAATACATGGGGCGCAAAAACGTTTATCCCATAATGAACTCATTTCACCCATTGTGGATAGAAGACGGCCAAGAAACTCTGGGATTACGGGATTCTCAAACGAAATAAATAATGCTTCGGAGTATTTTTGAAAAGGGTATTTCAAAATATGTGGGTTATATGGGACTATAAACTATTTTCCTAACATGGAAAAACTTACAAAAGGATAATAATAACTGAAGTTCGTTGTGGTTTAACTTGGTGAACTTAATTCCACAATTCATGAGACAAAAATTGACCTTCAAAACCCACTGGTCTGAAGGTGATCAAACTCGTTCACACATATGCGGGGAAATTTTCGCGAACCGTGTGCCCGACTATTTTATCATGCCTTGAAATCATCCAATGCACAAACAACCGTTTTACCCGTACCAATCACCAAATATGAACGATGAACGTGGACTCTAATTCCGAATCTTGAAATATATGCCAATACTATTTAAGCTTTGGATAAGTTGCCGAAGAATCGGCATTTGTCATGACGAACATTCTAAAATCTCAGGAAATCAGGAGTGGGGAAAACTCACGAGTTCTATTCATTGGTCCGACTCTACCTCATACTCAGTCGTGCGAAATTTGTGAATTCTTCCGAAAAGGTTTATTCCCCCCTTTCATATGTCAGTGAACAAGCGAGTATTGGATAGTTGAATCACACGTGATTCAGTTATCAAGGCCACCTATCGCTTACATTTAAAGACAGCTGTGGATATCGTAATTAGAATCGATTTATCAACAGGAAAATAAAACTGTTTATTCAGGGTAATTGAAAATCGAATTGTCACAAATTCATCCCCAGATATGCTTAATATATATCGTGCTTAAAATGAACATTTCTCATTGAGTGTTTTCATCAAAATATGCATCCAGTACTGAACGTTATCCAACATTCGTGAACTGCTGAGCGTCTATTCGGTTCGTATTTATTGACCTACGAACTGTAACAAATCCTCTCTTTTACTCATGTCAGGTAAATGTAACTTTGCTCTGCTCCCCCCCCCCACCTTCTTCCCCATCTCCCTTTCTCTGGTAATCATGGATACCTCGGACTACTCACCTGTTACCTCATTGGTGCACTTACGCAATTTGTGCTCCAGCGTACTGTCTCTCGCTCTCTTGCTCATTCTCATACTCTACTTCTTTCAGGGTGGGCTACACGAACCGGTTAATGGCTGTACATTCCAATCACGTGATGCCAATTTACCAAATTCCGATTATAGCACGATTGACCGAAATTCAGATCAGCAGAATAAAACTGGGGCAGGGAAAATTAATCGACTCGTTCTCGTTTGAAATTCAAATACGCGTATGTTTAACTTCAACATTGTTTGATTCCAAGCCTCAATCTCTTTTCTGTCAGATTTTACTAATCTTTCCTTGACCCACCTCAACACACCCCCACCATTTCATATTGATCATTATGGTAGCAGTTAAGCTTTTGTGACCGGGAGTGGAGCATACGAGCGTCATAAATTGATTTCTTTCAAAATTCCGGTTCCATTAACCCCTCCCCCCCCTCCGGCCCGGCCCGGCATAGCATCCACTAATTACTCTTTACCGTGTACCAAATACCAAATCAATAGGAATTAGTCAGCATGTCTCAACTAATCTTTTTTGGTTGATTAGTTTTATGAATTAAATATATAACTAAATAATCGTGTAAAGCATAGGATTTATTCACTGTTGTTTTATTTTTCTTCAAAATGAATTTATTTAACGTATTCTTCAGTTGTCGAAAATACCACCTCAGACACCTTGTCACGAATTGTTACCATTCCTGGACAATATGTTTTCTAATTTGACCAGTGTATTTTTTTCGAAATTACATAGTTTTCAGTGATTCAAAAATCAAAGATAAGGAAATGCTATTATTGCTAATCTGTAAACACCTCAGTGTATATGAACAAGAAAAACCACCTATTCACCATCCTAATTTCACCTCCTTTGAAATTATCATTTACTCCCCCCCCCCTACGCGCTTCGTGGATAATTTGGGCTGAAATCAAACGGGATATTAGCATCAGTGAATTTTCAGTTAGCGTTGCTTTGACCTGAAAGATATGTTTTGAATTTACTTAATTTATAATTAATACTTTTTGCCAAATAACTCTGTATTTCAAAGGTGAATTCCTCGTGTACGTAGCAAATGAAGCGTGAACTGAAAAGCTAGGAAGCACTGGACAGCTGTTTC